TGGCGCAAGTGGTAGAAAAATTCAATTTTCGTGTGGTTACATGGGACAGGTGGTGCCATCTAGCAGGGCGTAGTAGAAACAAACGTTTGCAATCATAGCCAATGGCGGGAAATTGATCAATAGCTGTTGTTGCTGCTGTGGCTCCCGCTGCTCTCAGCCTGCTGCTACTAGCGCAGTAAAGCCGGGCAACATTGGGCACGGCAACAGTGACATGTGTCGGTCCCGGGGGTACAGTGGCTGGAATAGGCAAGTGTGATGAGCAACAAGCGGCGCCTACGGAGCGCACGGAAGCCTCCAAAGAAGAGCCGCGCGGGGGCGCGCGCAATCGTTTATACCTCGTTTGCACGTTTCCGACAGTTTCGTCGTGCGCGTTCGTCCTCGTTTTTTTTAATTGCAGTGGCATTCTGACACCAATGATTCTGTATGCATTCTGATGGCACAAAAACAAAGTCATTGCTTTGTCCCGGGGTTCACTACAGGCTATAAGTCAGCTAAAAAGAAGCACGCGTTTTTCGGCATTCCGAAGGACGAAGCTCTATTAGTGCAGTGGCGGAGAGCGATCCCGCGCGCTGACAAGCTGCTTCAAGATAACTCGGTGTGTGCGAGCTGTACTTCGGCGAGGGGTACATTTCCCGGCACTTCGAGCTTACTGTGATTGGCAAAATTGTCCGCGTTGAAAGGGGTACACCCATAGGCGTCGTTCAGGGGGGGAGGGGGAGTTGGCGAAGGTTAATTGCAGGATGCCTCCTTCCTATTAAATCAGTGTATGAGGCAGATTTTACGCCCCCTTCTAGATGACTAAAAGCGTTCCCCGCTGCCTAGTTAATGTATAGAACAGATTTAGCGCCCACCTCCCAGGTGGCCAGCCCCCTTTGCCCCCTCATGCGGGCGCCTATGGGTAGGCCTTTCGGAGAAGCTATTCGCATTTGTAAACGCCTTTGAAATCACTTTTTCAAAGTGCTTTAACTACAACAAGCTTCACAGTGACAGCTTGGAAAAGCTTGTTTTCTGCATGAAAAAAAAAAGATGTCTCACTGGGCTGTGCACATGGTCCGAGCCTCACCAGTCAAGTAAACAAGTTTTTTCTGCTCACTCATACGCGTTTTTACCCAAAGGTACTCCACAAGGAGCGAGCATCTTCCTGTGAAAAGAGGAAGTACCTGAAGCTCAGGCGCATCACATTGGCCTGCAGCCCAATGTTCTGTGGGGCGCTTGTGAGCTATAAAACTTTTTCTTTGGCATAAAAAAGGACGTGCAACAAACTATTAAGAATGCATTGTTGTAAACAGATAGTGAGTCACTACTCACTATCTGTAAATGTGTTGTGTGACCTCTGTGCAGAAAATAAAAGGATTTCATCCAGATACCGCTCGTGGTTCTCGTCTCCGAGTATGACGTTTTGATTGATGGGGCTTTATTTACAGATTAGTGCTTGAGGAAATGATGGTTTGCCGTGGAAAGTGTTGCAAGCAATGGCTCACAACTGAGTTCATCGTTCCACTCTTCCACCACTTCCCATTGATGAAATGTTTCAGTGCCGTCACGCGCTCACTTTCGGTATCATATCGACCTGACAATATTTCTTATCAGTCGTGCACCCGCGTAGGCATTCTGTTTTCCAGAAGCTAATTAACATATTTTTTCGGTCACCATTTGAGGTCATGCACGAGTAAAAAAATATATTTTAAATGCTTCACATTGCACGCGCGCGGGGTTGATTGCCTCTCTGCGCAGCGCATCGCCGCCTTGGGTGACGTGCAAACGTGTGCCAGCGCTACCTGGCGGTTTCCTCCCAAGGCGTTATGCGCTAGCCGGCGCGTTCATCACACTTTCCTATTCTAGCCACTGTACCGGCGGTCCGCTTCTTGAGGCGGGTAATTTTAAGTGCGCTAACTTGATGCGTACCACTGAAACGTGATTTTATTTCAAAATAGGCCCTTCCTTGGCACAAAAGTAACACTGAGAGGTTTCTGGACCGCTGTTTCAAAAATCGTCATATTATTAGTTGCCTTTAGTGTCCCTTTAAGGCGTTGGAGTTTAAGCAACAGAAGGACCAAGCAAGATTTTATACAGGCTACTCGACAATGTCTAGACCATATTCATAGTATCAATAACGGGATTCAGAAAAGTGCAGAATACAACCAACCCCTATATATAGCCTTCATAGATTACGAGAAGGCATTTTATCTGGTTGAGATATTGGCAGTCATGCAGGCACTGCAGAATCAGGGGATCGACGAAGCCTATATAAACATACTGGAAGAAATCTAGAGCGGATCCACAGCCGCCATAGTCCGCCATAAAGAAAGTGACAGAATTACAATAAAGAAGGGTGTAAGTCAGGGAGACACGATCTCTTTATTGCTATTCCCCATTGTTTACAGGAGGTTTCCAGGACCCTAGATAGAGAAGAGTTAGTGATAAGAGCTAATAGAGAGTATCTTAGTAAGCTGTGACTCGCTGATGATATTGCATTGATGAGTAACTGAGGGGATGAATTACAGCTGATGATTATTGAACTGGATGCAAAAGTAGAAGAGTAGATCTGAATATTAATATGCGTAAAACCAAAGTAATGTGCAACAGTCTCTGCAGAGAACAGCGCTTTGCGATAGGTGGCAAGACGCTGGAAGTTGTAAAGGAATATGTCTACTAGGATCGGGGGTAACTCGGGGCTGTATATGAGAGGGAAATGGCTAGAAGAGTAAGGATGGGGTAGAGCACATTTGGCAAGCATTCTCAAATCATGAATGGTAGTCTAGCACTATCCCTCAAAAGGAAGGTACGTAATAACTGCATCTTACTAGTACTTATCTATGGAGCAGAAACCTGGAGGCTTACAAAGAGGGTTCAACTTAAATTGTGGACAATGCAGTGAGCGATAGAAAGGAAAATGATTGGTGTAACTGTTAAGAGACAGGAAGAAAGCAGAGTGGGTCATGGAACATATGGGGTTAAGGAAATCATAGTTGAAATCCAGAAGTGGACATGGGCCGGGCAAGTAGTGCGTAGACAGGATAACCAACCGCTGGTCATTGAGAGTAACTGACTGACTGGATTCCAAGAGAAGATGAATGTGTGAAAAGGAGACAGAATTTTGATGGGCAAATGAGATAAAGAAATTCGTGGGTATAACATGGCAGCAGACAGCACATGACCGGGTTGATTGGCTGAACATGGGAAAGGCCTTTGCACTGAAGTGAGCGTTGTTAGGCTGATGATGATGGCCTCACATGCAAACCGTGTTGTTTTGATTGTCCAGTTCCTGCAACATTTGTGTGTGAATTCGGCCAGCTCCTTCTTGAGTGTCGGGTAATGGCCATTCTTAGGTCTTCCGGTTGATGCGATTTCGAAGATGTGATTGCAGTACTTCATCAAGTCTTAAGTTGTTGATTCAGCCAGTGTGTTGTGCTGCACCACACTTGAATTTCCTCTCTCTTGTGTCAGCCAGATCGCCTCTTCCTAATTGAGACAGTACACAGAGTTCTCTCCTGTTCATTCTAGTGGCTCAGTGACCTGCTCAGTGCAGAAGTACAAATAAAGCAACAAAATTACAAGAAGACGGAAGCTGTTCTGGATTGTTCTCATTCTTGGTTTTCTATTGCTGCCATGGTGCCTTCCTACGGGCAAGTTAAATGCACAGATGGAAAAAAGAGAAAAAGTATTTTATTGTGATATGAACCTGAAAATTGTGCCAGGCACAGTTTAAGAATAAAAACTTTTGCAAGACGGGTCAAACATGACATAACTTCAATTGTATACAAGTTCACATCATGAACTGTATATACAATAGACACTCAGTAAAGGAAAATCTGATCAATAAAACTGTTACCTAAATGTAAAGAATGGATCTGACAAGATTGGTTTCGTTCTTGCATTTTGCACCCTTGTTAATCTCTCAGTAAATGAATTTCCTGTTAAATGAAACATATTTTTCTGGTCCTTTCAGATTCCATTTAATGAGAATCTGTAATTCCAAGTCAGCACAGTGCTTTGGGTTTTCTACAGTCTTCATGACATGAACTTGAGTGTAATGCAAAACGCGTTTTGAACGGGAATATTTTGGGTGAAAGACTTGCATATTCGTGTAAATATAGTATTTATGACAAAGCACTCATTTTCTACAGTGCAAGTAAAAAGTGGAAGCAAGGACATTGTCTCGTATCAAGATTGGTATGTTGCTGTCCCCAAAGTTTGTAGTTGCAATTACTAGCACTTCCTTCATGATCTACAAATGTATAGATATTAGTGTTCATTATTATGCATACCCATTATTGAACTACCAATATGAACGGTTGGTCTCTTATTCCTGGGGGCCAACAAGTAGTAGCTCTTTTGGTGAAGCGTCATCAACAATCTGCCTTACATAGCTACCTCTTAAGTACTGCCATCACCATTTCTGCAAGAAAATTGTGTTTTTTTCTCTAAATGAGATACAAAATTTGCTATGTGTGTAGTTTATTGACAGAAATTGTGTGCACAAATAATACAAGGAGTGGTAAAAAAGAAGAAATATTTCAAGTCTAGTTGTGCACACAGTGTGACGCTTACATGCAGGAAATCACTTAGTACTGTTATCTATGCTTGTATATACGGAAATTTTATGTCGCTGAAGCTCAGCTTGCATTACATTTTAAATTGCTGATAGATGGTCACTGAAACTGCTGACGTAAGCAAATTCACTGACTGTTGTCAGTCACTGGTGCTCTTCCAAGATAATTGTACATACGCGGAAAGCAGTACTTCAAGACAGTGAGTGTCTTGATATGTTAATCAATACACGTGGTACTCCTGCCTTATCCACACTTAACAAAGACTAGCAGGAATTCACATTGATGAACTCTGGAAGGCAGAGGTATAAAATTGAAAATGTTGCATATGTGTGGTTTGCATTGACACATAACTATATATATTCGAAAACACATGTACCCTAGTTTTTTTTTCTTCGTGTGGTTACAGTAAATATGTTAAAAACTGATAAATTTTATCATTGTTTTCAGCCGCAACAAACATGAAGTGGATTGACGCCAAGCTTTGGGAGCTTGGTGTGACACGCCACGAACAATACAAGGTGGCATTTCTTTTGGATTCTACTGCCATGATCACCTTGCATACATCAAAATATGGGACAGTAGAAGTAAGTGTGTTGCCAGCATACTTCTGCTGCTTTTTATAAGGGCCTCAACACTAGTGCTGAGTCTGTTTAGGTTGTATTTTTTCAGAGCATCCCTGTACTATAGAAACGTATTGAACGTTTTGACAGTGCATCAGTATGATTTCATAAATGTCAGATTTCATAAATGTCAGATTTTGTGGCATTATTTTTTAGATTGTTTTAGCCTAAAAAATACATTCTAAACCTTCCAGGCTGAGTCATTGGTTCCTTTTGAATGCTCTGTACTCCTTTACTAATGAGGATATAACTAGATTGAAATTCATTATCTTATGGCAAGCTGCTGCATGAACAAAACTTGCTAGGCTAAAAACGAGCCGCGTTGGTCTAGCATACTGAATAGCGGATCGCTAACTCTCATGTTGGTGTTGTGAGATCCACAGTTGACTGTAATGCAGGCACTGAAAGTAGCCAGAGTCATAGGCGTACCCGCCAAGGGGAGGGGAGGGGCTAGCTTCTTACTGAGAAAAGTTGGGTGGGGGGGGGGGGGGGGGGGCTGAGCCCCTTCATTTTCGACAGTGGTCACTCTTGGCTGCACGCTAAGGAAACCAACAAGGCAATTTTTTCCGCCACAACAGTAATCACTCAATTTTGCTCTTACGGGAAAATGAAAATGTTACAAGGCATTGTTACAACATAGTGAAATGGGGCCAACATTTCCGCTGTGATGATTTTTCTTGTAGGGTCTTTGCGGCGCGGGTGCCCTATGCGACGCTTTCGCGTCTTGTGCAGAGCAGGCAAGCACTGAACAAGGGCCCTGTATTAATATTACATCACTTGTTCATGGCTTTATTCTGCTGTGGCTTGATAATGCAGTTACGGATAGCAACGAGTAAACTTTTTATGGACCGGTCTGAGCATTTGCTGCTTTCGGAAAAGAATTTTCTTCGAAAAGGATATATCATCACCGCTGCTCTGTTGAAGCTGTTGCGAGCCGATGAGTGTGACAAACCGTTTTTGATGTTTAGGTTTTTTTGTACTGAAACGCCAAAAAATGCTTTTGCTTTAGTCTCTGATAAACCTGATCAGCCTTGCTTATGGTAACGTGGAGCCATGGCAGCTGCTTGCAAAGTGGCCACGAATAAAGCAGTGGACTCAAGCTCAGCAGGAAGCTCAGCTTTTAAGATTGCCCCTCAACTTGACCCATTGGACAAGGGAGAAGGCGAAAGAGCATGGTATTTAGCACTATGGAGGCTTAGTTAAGAGTTGGGCTACTTGGTTTTCACTCAACTTAAATTGTCTTTTACAGCTCAAAACACATCTTGGACAGCAAAGAAGCAGACACGTCCAGCACTGCTTATGTCTCCCTATTCCTCTTTCTCTCAGCAAGTATGAGCTCGCAGAGGTGTATACACGCACAAACCACTTAACATTGTTATTTTGCTAATGGAAATATTTTATTATACTCATAAAATGTGATTGGCAGCTAGCCTACTTGAATTAACTTATGAAGGAGATGCTCCCCGGCTTCGTGACGTCATGTAAAAAGCAAGCGATTTCGTGACACACAAAAAATTTTAAATGCTGAAGAACCAATAGCAAACAATAGGCCGTATCGAAAATGGAAAATTTCTTACGTTGTCGTGCATATGTGTTCATTACGCGATGGATCATTTTTGCGTCATTTGTTGCCTCTCATAACAAGCTAGTGCTGTGTGCATGACAAAGACTGTTTACACCAATCATATACAGCTAACCACTATTTCCAAAGGAAGCAACGAGGGATATTTCAGCATTTTAATCGTGCACATTTTGTTTTTTTAAAAGAAAATTTTGTTTACATCGTTTGTATTCGCGTATATATTTAGGTGCCTGGGGGTTAATGTTAATACAAATATAATTAGTGCAAAAATGTATGATGTCCCTAATACTATAAATGATACATTTTTTTTTACAGAAAACGGTTGAGAAGCTGATAAGTTAATAATAGTTAAATAACAGTAGCAACATTATTAATAGTTGCATGCTCAAAAAACAGTGTTAAGATTATTGGCAAACAAGGCAAATTTTATTACACACAAGCCTGAATATATGCAATAAACTTTAATACTTATTATGTAAAAATATAACAGCAATCATTCATTGAAAAAACATGGTTGATCCTTTCTTTATAGGAATTGGCATATAACACGAAAGTAAAGCACGCTTTTAGAGGGGGGTAATAAATGTTTACTGTACATTAATAAAGCAGGGTTTGTCGATTATATGTTTTGGTGTTTGGCAGCTATAGCCCCATTCAACGTAGATGTATCCTTGTTGACGCTTGGTACATCTTCATCGCGACTACTAACATCCATGATAAATTTATTAAACAAACTATTGTGGTATATGTATATGTTAACTGTCAAAGCATAATCGGATAAAACAGAGAAAGAGCCGTGACAGCAAGATGAGCTTTGCATATTGTACACGGAAATTGAGCTAAGGGCGCCATTCCTCGACCTACAGTGTGATTGAACATCATGGTATCTAAGAAAGAGCGTTGTGTCACATCTTTGTATGCAAATCTATATGAAAGTGCCAGTGCGTCAATAAAGTTCTCTCTCTTGATATATATATATATATATATCCCGGCCGAATGAGGTAGGTTTGCCCCCCCCCCCCCCCCCCCCCCCCACTTGCTCAAGAGTTGGTACACCACTGGCCAGAGTTACATTGTGCTTGAAAAAAAATTTTAAAAAAGTTGGTGATTAAACTTCTAGAGCACCAAAAAGAAAGAGCAGAGGCTTGCTAAATGGGAGAGTACGCAGAACAAAAAATGGTAGACAATTGTGCGGGAAGTTTCCGTGTCTACAGCTTATGGAGTGATAAACTTTGTGTCTACTTGTGGAGGGTATTGTTGATTAATAAAGAAGGGTTAAATTACTTTTCTAATGCACCAAGGACTCAACGTAGGAAGTTACAATCGCTTTTCTCTATAGAAGTACTAAAGTAAACTGCATACAGTCACCAATGGAGTCAGACTTCGAAAATTCAAAGTTGGTGGATATGTTGGACAACATAAGTACACCGTTGAAGTTCCCCTAGCACCAGCACATTTATTGCAGCTGGTTTCCTGGACAAATTTAAAGCAGTTATTTTCAAATGGCAGTCCATGAAGCGATTTTTGGGAGTCTGCGAAACATATCCACGAAAAAAAAAATTGTTTGGAGGCACACTAAACCCTGTTACAGCGGCAAATTCTGATTTTTGCATCTTGGCATTGCAGCGGGACTGACTTATGTTTCTCGCTTCTCTATGAGATGGTTGTAAATCTTTTGTTGTAGCTTTCTGCAACATCCGTACATGAGGGTACTTTTCCTAGGCTTGTATATTTACAGTGCAAACACAGCCAAAAACAGGTTGATAGTGGCTGCCGACCACACAACTTACAGATAAACAGTTGAGATAAAATCGTTGTGGAACTTGAGTTTGGCCATTTTTTGCTTAGGAGAAATAAGACTCCTATTGCACGCTGCATGTTATGGAAATTGATGCCGCCCCTTGCCCTTCCTCTCACTGCAAGAGATTCTTCGCCACTTCCACCGATTCATAAGGGGTCCCTGAAACATCTATGGCTTTGAACAGCTGTCCTAAAGTGGGATTTTTTTATAATAAATCACCCGTTTTGAGCTACACCACTCTATTTTGAAAGCCACCATGTAAGATTTTCCTCTCGCTCGGTCAAGTTTAGTTTCCAGTGGCCAGGGCAGCTATTCTCATGGTGTCCACTTAGGGGACCTGTTCATTTCCACCTTCGATGATTCGCTGGAGCTCAGCGAAGCAGCATGCTGCCTTTTTCCGCTCTTTCTTTCGCAATGTCATTTTGACGCCACGCAGCTTTCACTACTGTCAACTTAAATAATAAAGACGGAATGTGTTTCATGCAATGGATTCGGCCCCCAGATATCTACTTTGGGACGCACATCTCGGAGGCCGTGCATTAGCTCTGATCCCATTAGCCTTTGAATTAGGTTTAACGTGGCCACCCACATGACCCACCTGGAAGGACGGTACGCATTACCTGCATCATGCTTAAAACATCTCTACCCATTCATACGCAAGTTCAAGTTTGTAAATTAGTTTAGGAGTCTTGTACATTTCATCCACTGTTTTTCTTTTTATGGTGGGAATTTGCTGGCAGTTTTGGTGCTTCAATGTAGCCAAAAGTGCCATGACGTCTCGACACTTTTTTATTTGCATAAATGAACATGCTCCAGCGAAGTGAACATGTCTACGACATGAACATTACAGAAATCTTGCCCTAGTTTTTTTGCCTCCAAGATTGGGAACGCTCACCCAGTTTTTGAGGCCATACCCACTCTTCCTTGGCTGCTAAAATGCTTCAGGGGATGCAACTTTTCCTTTTCAATCGGTCTTATATTGTTAGGCGTGGGTAAATAATAAGTCTGAGGTTCGAAACAAATGCTACTTTGGCAAATAACTTCAAATCGAATTGTTTAAATAGTACACTTCACATATTATCTTAAACAGTGAGAATTTTTGTCATAAACTATTTTTAAAAGATGGAACAAGGCATGTGTAAATGTCACTTTTTGGTTCTAAGGGAAGTAGAAGCAACTTTGAAAAGTAGCTAGATTGTATAGCAGCAGGGTGCAAGTTTAACGGGTACAGTATGTCAAGTTTCAAAAATTTTCCTATTCAGTACATGTTAGCCCCTACAACATGCTTTTAAACTTAAAAATAATTAATCCAGGTGAAAGTAATATGTACATTTAACCTCAAAATAAGGCTTTGTGACAGAGTAGATTTCTCTGGATGGGTGGTTTCATGACGTTGCATGTCCTACACTGCAGCGAAACCATCTAACCATCTTTACAAAGCGTTATATGCTCCCATATATCAATTTGTTCATTTCAAATAATCTAAATTCATTTCGAAGCAAATTCGAATACTGTAACATTCGTTCGAATATTCAAAGAGGCGGATCGCTTACCACATCTGTACTTAATGTCGTCCTTAAG